AGTCTAGGTAGATCTGTTTGATACCTTCGACCGTCAAATCCTTGTGTTGGAGAGTTAACTGATTTGCGCCTGGAGCAAAGGTTTCGGCATATAGGACGACATTTTCCGGAAATGTGGCAGAGAATAAAACGATTTGGATGTTTTTCGGGAGCATCCTATAAGCTGGTTAATGTGAAGGCAACGACTTCTGAGCAATGCCGCTACTCACGACTTGACCCGGATGCACTGGTCACCGAGACCTTGTTGATCCAGCATGTTGTCTGCTTCATCGAGCACCAAGACTTTGACGGACCTGACGTCCATGGATCGCTTGCGAATCATGTCCATGACCGTGCCGGGAGTTCCAACAATCACCGACGCTTCGATTTTCCGCGAGCGGCTTGCAGCATCTTGAGGAATGGCAGCAGCCACAATCAGACCATCCACGAAAGAGCCCATAACCTTCACAACGCCTTCGATCTGGCGAGCGAGCTCTCTGCTGGGAGCCAAAACGAGTGCCTGCGGGGTCTTGCGCATTTGATCACTGCTAAGATCGAGACGATGTAGGATATTTAACACAAAAGCGGCGGTCTTGCCAGTACCAGACTGAGATTGACCGATCAAATTCTGAGGAGGATTCATCAGGAGGAGAGGAAGAGTCTTCTCTTGGACTTTTGATGGTTTTCGAAAGTTCATGCTCACAACGCCTTTGAGGATGTTTTCGTTGCTGGTGAGGTCAGCAGAGTGATAGAGACATCTAGAAGAGGACAACTCACAGCCCAAGTTGCTCAAACGAAGTGGCCGAGTAGAGGGGGTTATTGGGGTCGGCCTGCATGTCTGCCAATTTGACCTCTACTTCGAAGTCGGGCTCCTCCAGCTGCGATCCGCCGAAAGGCTCTGTAGCTCCATCGACTTGTCCGTTGTTCTGCGGTACTGACTCCGGCTCTTTCTCTGCCATGTTTGCGACCGGTGGTGGATTCTCGGTTGCAGGAGAGGCAACTTCATCTGCCCATGAGGTAGACTCTGGCTTGGAGATGCGATCTTCCAAAGAGCCGCTTCCGGACGGTGTTTCGGACATGATGAGGGGTTCAGAGAGACGAGCGCTTTCTGCCGATGTGAGGTCTTCGATATAGCGACGATCGCCTGAGGGTGGAAAAGGCCGACTCGATCGAGAGCAGGTAGGTAAAGTCAGGCGGAAGTGAACCAAGAAGTCGCTGGCTAAAGAATACAAAAGAAAATCGCGCTGCCTTTGATTCACTTCTGTAAATCTCGAGCAGTCTAGGTAGTAATAGTGAATAAAGGTCCGGCAGATGAACAGGGTGCTGTGAATCTACGAAAGATTCAGGCTGCTGTCGATGGAATGGAAAATTGGTGACCAGGGAACGAAATCCCACTAAAACTGTGGCGTAACTGGACAGGCATGACAGGGCACTTGTGGCGCGTGTGGGTGGCAGGTGCGGGGTTCAGAGCTGGGCGTTTTAGCGCTTAACCAGCCCGTACGAGCACGACGAGGTACCTGGAGCCAAAACCCTTGGGGGCCAGTCTTTGCCCGCTCGATGTCACCCACAAACTACCGTGCCTTGGACCGTTGATGATTGATCGACTGCCCCTCGCCAATCGCTGGGCGTGAGCTGCCCGTCAGATGAGTACACATACATTCCCTGCTGCGCCGCAGTCTGCACTAAGATCGAAAGAAATCGGAGATCTACGAAACCTCTTCATCCACGCGTGATTAACGATATGGAATGATGGTGTTGCGGTCTGGATTGCCCGACATTTGCGATCACAATGGCCCAGGTTGCGACAGTCAACTTTGGCACTGAGCTCAAGGTTCGGCTACTGCGCCCTCAGGCCTGAATTGTACACTAATGGGGATTTAATTAGGACGGCTACAAACCGGTCGACAATTGGGTGAGCCTGGGCATTACATGGCTCACGGAAATCCAAGAATTCTACCAGGAACGCTCTGCTATAGAAAAGGAATACAGCCAGAAGTTGACCGCTCTGGCGAAGAAATACTATGATAAGAAATCAAGAAAGTCCAGCAACTTGAGCGTCGGCGACAATCCTGCTCTGACCCCAGGCTCTTTAGAGTCCGCCTCCCTCACGACATGGACCACCCACCTGTCTACTCTCGAGGCGCGAGCGAACGAACACGCGAAATTCTCTAGAGACCTCATAAGTCAAGTTGCGACACCGCTGGAGTATGCCGGCACGAAACTCGAGGAATTGAGAAAGAGCCATGCCGAATATAATGCCAAACTTGTCAAAGAGAGGGACTCATCCTATGGTGACCTGAAAAAGTTGAAACAACGATATGATGCTGTGTGTCACGAGGTTGAGAACCGAAGGAAAAAGGCCGAATCGTCCATGGATAAAAGCAAGGCTCAAAGCACGTACAACCAGCAGTTGATGGAAATGAACAATGTCAAGAACACATATCTGATTGGTATCAATGTCGCGAATAAGATGAAGGAATGCTATTATCACGAATACGTCCCGGAATTGCTCGATTCCTTGCAGGATCTGAACGAGACTCGTGTGTCGAAACTGAATTCGATATGGCTGGTCGCCGCGGCACTCGAGACCAACACTCTCAAGAGAAGCACCGAGCTCATGACTCGTCTCTCGAACGAGATCCCCCGAAACAACCCCAGTCTCGACAGCAACATGTTTGTGCGACACAATGCTGTGCAGTGGCAGGAACCTCCGGACTTGGTCTTTGAACCGTCGCCAGTGTGGCTGGATTCGGACAACATGATGACCGATGATGCGTCCAAAGTTTTCCTTCGCAACATCTTGCAGAAGAGCAAGCCGCTGATCAACCAGCTCAAGGCGGAATCGGCCCAGAAAAGGCGAGACCTAGAAAACCTGAAGCAGGCTCGGCGGGCAGGCAAAGACAAGCGCGACGAAGTAGAAGCGGTGCGATCACAGTTTGCCCTGCAGGAGGATCTCCATGCCGTTGAGCGTAAGCGATTGACGGCAGAAGTGGAGACGTCGACGATTACTTCAGTGGTGGGTGATCTCAGCATGTATGGCAAGAGTCACACCTTCAAATCCGAGACGTTCAAAATACCCACTAATTGTGATCTATGTGGCGATCGCATTTGGGGTCTGAGTGCCAAAGGATTCATATGTACTGATTGCGGGTTTACCTGCCACAGCAAATGTCATATGAAAGTGCCTGCAGACTGTCCAGGCGAACAGACAAAGGAAGAGAAGAAAAAGTTGAAAACAGAACGGCAAGCGGCGGCCCTGATGGCCGTCGAGGCCCCGCCAGCCGCCTCGAACGGGACTACAGGCCCTCCTCCATTAACGAGGCAAGACACGATGAATAGTCTGTCGTCTGGCTACGCGGCTAGCGCCACAAGGTCCTTGTCTGGAGGTGTTCCGAGATTGTCAGCACTGGATGATTCAACCACCAGCTCTCCGTTAACAACCATTACTTCCAACTCCGGATCATCGACCACCACCGCATCGAGACGAAACAGGATTGTCGCGCCGCCCCCTGCAGCCTACGTCAGCGCACCTGGCGCCGACTTGGCGGCCAACGGAAGCGGCCAACCCAGAGGCAAGATGCTTTACCCGTATGAAGCCAGAGACGAGGGAGAGGTATCCCTGCCAGAGGGCGCGGAGGTGAAGATCCTGGAACCTGACGGTATGTAAACTCCCCACAGTTGTCCTCGTTTATACTGAACAACAGCAGATGGCGGCTGGACCAAAGTCCATGCTGGCTTGGGAAAAGAAGGTCTAGTGCCTACGGCATACCTGGAAGAACTGCCCACCCCGGCCAGTACGCCCGCGCAAGAGCGCCCACCGTCATTGTATTCAAATTCGAGTGCCTCCCTGGCATCGTCGACCCTAGCTGGTGCGAATAAGAAGAAGCAAGGGCCAGCAGTGGCGCCGAGACGAGGGGCGAAGAAGGTCAAATATGTGGAAGCTCTTTACCCCTACACGGCCCAGAGTGATGCCGAGTTCGACATGGCCGAAGGAGAAAGATTCATACTGATCAGTATGGGCACCGGAGATGGCTGGGCGGATGTCGAGAAGAACGGCGAGACAAGAAGCGTTCCTGCCAACTATATCCAGGAGGTCTAGGAGATCGCAGAGGAGCGCCAAACTTTGGAATTGAAAGGTATGTTTACATCTGGTTAGGACGCATAGAAGGATAAGCGAAGCATCTGAGCGTCAAATAGAGGCACGGACGGCGGAGTCTTGACCAGGAGTCATCCTCCGCCCGAGGCAGGACCCAGGCATCATGAGATGGAGGCCCAAGACTGATAAAGCCTCGTCAGAGCCAGTCCGAGTTATGTTGGAGTGATTTGACAGCGGGTTTGGTTGAAAAAGTGTCGTTCGCAGTATATACCCAGCGTCTTCCTTGGGTCCCCCTCCACTTCCCCCCCTTCTTCCCCTGTTCCTTGGCCACAAGTCCAGCCAGTCATCCTTGATCTGAATTAATGTCTTGGGTCTCGATGCATCCAGCCCGCCTCGGCCCCGTTCAGCCTCGCGATGTATGAGTTGTGATTGGTTCATTTGAGGCTTGGCGAAACCTTCGCTCAGCTCTACGGCAACGTCTCCCTTTGCATCTGCATCAGACTGGATTGCCATCTCGTGTACAAAGAGCTCGCGCCAACAACAGCGCCAGCACAAGGCGCTTTGGCTTTGGCCATATCCCAATATGAAATGGTCCAAGTCTGCCCTTTTAGCATCAAGCTCTCCCACGTTGAGCTTGCGCATTGCTTGAGTCCTCGCTGTCGGCAACCAGTGGCTTGCGAAGCGAACGCCCAACATGGTGGGTGGTTGACTGGTCTTTTGCTAGCATGCCCTCTTCCCGGGCTCGAATGCTCCTTCTCTTTCGGGTCCTTTGATCGAACCGTGGCTTTCTGCGCGGGGAGTTGTCCGTTCGTCCATCCATAAGTACCTCTTTTTATCTCCCCAGCCTCACCCCATTCAAGGACGTTGTACTGTCAGTCTCTGCTTTGGCATTCTACACGTACAGAGCAAGTTTAGACTCAATAGCTATGGCGGGGATTACTGCTTCAGTGACAGCCGCGGAGCGGGCAACGGCGAAGGCTATCCCCATCAGTCCCATCACTTCAGCTCCCATTCTCACTCATCAGCGCGGCTTAATCAAACGGACTGGTGCCGACACAGTCGAGGACAACACTTGTGGATGGGTCAATGGTGATCTCAGTAGGTGTTGATGCGATTCCTTCCTTCGTCCCATCCTATCGCTATACGTCAGCCTCATTCCATGGCTGTATGCCACAAACTCTTACGGCACGACACTGACGAATCTGGCCGCACTCGCCTGTCTAGATACGCCTCTTGTCTGCAACTACCAAGCCTGCCTTTGGTCTCCGGAACTGCATGCGGTCGGCTGTTGTGCGGATGCTGCAACGACGGATTGCGCCTGGGTAACCTCCTGTGTGCCATATTCCATGGTGAATAACGGCTGCGACATGGCCTGCCAAGGGAACTATCTCAATACTGTTTGGTTCGTCCCATGATCCCAATCCCTTCATGCTTCGGCAGGTACCTTGAGCCATTCTGTGAATTCTCCACAGCGATCAGGGGTTGACTGGACTTGCGGACGTAGTGATGAAGCCCATCCTCTTTGCGCGACGGCGACGTTTGGCGGTCCAGCGGGATACACCTACCTCAGTTGCACAGATGCCATCGGCACAACGGACACGGTTAGAGAACATTTTCTGTCAAGCACCATTTCATTTTAATTGAAACATCAAGAGTCATGATGTCGATATCTCCCACATGCTGACACCACGTTTGCAGATGATGCTCACATACTATGGCGGCAATGCAACGGTCGAGAACTTACCCAGGTATTTCTCGAGCTATTGGTACGAGAGTACCACCACTTCTTCCACGACGTCGACTTCTACCTCATCTCCCGCCGACGACGCAGGCATCAACGACACGATATCTTGGCTCTCCGGCAACAAAACCATCCTCATCGGAGCCATTGCCGGCTTCTGCGGGTTACTCATCCTCCTCGTGGTGGGGGGTTGCTGCGTGGTACGGAACAAAAGGTCCAGACGAGGACGGTATATTCCGGCTAGTCAGCAGATGCCACCACACGAGGCTTACGGAATGCACTATCAAGGCGCGGCGGCATATCAGCGGCCTCCATCGTACCAGTCTGGGTATGGATACCAACAAGATTTCGGCCAGGTGTACGTGGCTCCGAATAAATGAGGGAGACGCGCCGAGACCAACGTCTTGATTTTGTTCCAACTTGCTCAGGCTTGTTTGGTTTTGGGCTTTCAAGATGATGCGTTTTGTATATACGTCTCTCGCGACATCACTCGGGACAGGGAACGCTGGTTATATGTCACAGAGTGTGTTTTTTTGACACGGCGTAAGAGGCTGATTGAACCGTTCTGCCTCCATTTGATCATTCAAGGACGTCCTGCACTTGAACTGTTCCTCGTAGCAAGGACAGCCAATGTAGCTATCTAGAGACCATGCTAGGTTGGATCTAACTATACTCTACCCTACCCTGCTCTGCTCTTCGATATACCTGGGTCACTACCTATTCATCCGCGTACTGATTCATTCATCACACTCGTCAACCCTCGAATTGGAAATTCGTTCTTTCATTCATCCCCATACCCACACTCTATGTATGCTGGCGCATCGTTTGCAAAGCATTCCTATTTCCTAAGCCGACAAACTTCACCTGTAACAAGATAACGAGATAGTCCGTGTCTTTGTTTAGTTTCTCGCTCGCCTCGATCGCACTTTGACCACTCCGATTGTAACTCGAGGGTGTCTTCTCTATTCGCTCTGCGAAGTCTACAACTCACCTCCGCGGATCCCTCTCTCATCTGCGGACGCCAAGGAGGATTTCGAGCTTCGTCCTTCGTCCCGACTGCAAAACTAGAAGAGCTCCACGAGGACCCTCACGCCCTTCGCGTCCCTGCTCGGCAAGGGGATGAACCTGTCCTCGCGCATGTCGACGTCCCTGTCAAAAGTCGTGTCAAAGAGGTGCAGGCGGCCGACGTCGCCGTCAAACGTCACCCCGTCGCCGCCGTAGACGCGGAACAGCTTGGCCAGCACGAGGTACAGCTCCGCGTACGCGAGGTTGATGCCCAGACACTGCATCGAGCCTTTGGAGAAGCTAACCAGGAACCTGTCCAGGCGCGGGTTCTCGATCCACCGCTCGGGTCGGAACTCGTGTGGCGAGGGGAAAGTGTCGGCGTCGCGGTGGATCAGGTAGCTGCTCATCGAGCACGGGGTCCCAGGGGGGATTGTCCACGTGGTAGGTCCTGCGCTGTCGGCGTGCTTGTCGTCGTCGTCGTCGTCGTCGTCGCTGACGACAAAGACGAGGGTTTCGTCCCGCGCGATCCGTTCGAGGCGCGTGCAGATCCCGTAGCTCAGTCGGAGGCCCTCTTGTATGACGCCCGTGAGGTACGGGAGGCGCTCGAGCTCGGGCAAGGGCGTGGGCGTCGTGGGATCCGGGATCGCCTCGTACAGTTCCCGCTTCAGCTTCTGCAGGACGCCCGGGTTGGACAGCAGGTAGAAGACCGTGACCGGCAGGGTCCAGCCCGTGGTGACCGCCCCCGCGCTGACGACCGTGGCACCCTCGTCGGCGAGGCGGGCCGTGCGCTTCTCGACGGCCGGGAGGGAGCTGTCGAGGATCTCGTGGAAGATTGTCGGGTGCGAGGCCGTCTTGTGGGACGTGTCGACGCCGTTGCGGATATTTTCAATCTGGTTCTTGATGTCCTGTCCCCAAAAGCCAGATCAAAAAGCAGGCTTTTTGTTAGATTGGGTCCAAATAAAAAGTGGCGGCTCAAATTTTGAGCCGGGATTGACGGAGAGAGACGAGGGATGAGGCACACAGTTAAAGGGGACAAAAGGCTAGAAACCGTTCAACCACTTACCCGCTTGAATTGCAAGTAACGGCTCGCTGCAACAATGTTAGTCGCATGCCAATGCTATCGACTTTTCAGTGTGGTTGATGATGATCCCTCGGTCTGAAGGAAGCCATCCCCTACATACCGTTCGGATCGAGTCTCCGAGCCATCCAATCTGGAATGTTCAACACCAGCCAAAAGAGCCAGTACATTTGTTTTGCAATCTGGCCCAGTGAGCTTGTTGAAGAGGCCGCCTTGAGCATCCACGGGTCAAAGTCCTCGGCTTCGAGGTGATGTTCGCTGCGGGCGAACGCGTATTCCGTGATGACGTCTGAGCAGCATCAGTTGCCGTGGACTCGGCGAGCTAGGAGATGAAGACGGGAGGAAGGTCCAAGAGGTAGGGACGGGGAATTTCTACCGTACGCGTACGCGGCGAACGCGACCTCCAGGTTCAAAGGCTTCCTTTCGTCCCCTTTTCTCACGTTGCCGAATTCTCTGACTCTGGCCAGCAAGAGATCCGCCTTCTCTTCGATGACGCTTTGCAGTTTCCGAACACCTGGAGATAGGTCCACGTCAGGGGGTCTGTCTCGCCCACGTTGAAGACTTTCCAGCTTTCCATGGTTTCTGACAAAAGCAACCAACTCACTCTGCATGCTAAAGTAGGGACTCAGGGCCGCTCGTCTCGCCTTGTGCAAGTCGTGGGGATTCGTGCTTGCCCCCGCGCCAGGCATGCCGAAGCCCTGGGTGTAGCGTTCCCACCGATCGCGGCGTCGTGTTGGTCCTGCGTAGATCTCCTCGTAGAATCGAGGCGGGTAGAAGTGCAACTCCTGCGGGTTGATGCGGACAACGGGACCATATTGCTTGTGAAGGTCGCGGATGCGGAAAGTGTACTGTCCGCCCAGGATGACATCGTAGTAGAACTCGTACCTGAGAGGGATGTTAAGACTAGTCGCTCGGGGGCGATGATATCTGTGAAGTAGACGGGTTGGGCCTTTGACATGACATCCCGCTTACCAGTAAGTTGCCGCCGCGATTCTGGGGCCCGGAAAGTGAGCGATGGGGCTGAAGATTAGGCGATAGACGACAAGCCCGACGTTGTAGCATATCCATAGAGCCAAGCAGGCGAGCGGAAGAAAGAGTGACGACTTCTTCGTTGCGAACCACAAAGCCTCAAAGACACCCATACTGAGATCTCGGGCGAAGGTTTGGAGGCGGCGGCGGCGGCCAGAAAGAGCGGTCTGTAGAGCATCTCCATGTCAGATTAATATCTTGGGTCAAAGCAGGTATCTCGTAATAGTCGCTGAACTGGCCGTAATGGGTACGGTTGAAGTGACAACGTCCAAGGTGGAAAACGTCTTGGGACTTGCAGGGATCTTTGACCCGCAGTTCCCCGTCTGTGCAACGTGTCTCCAGTAACAATTCGTCTGAGACCCGTCGAGAACGGATGTGCAACTGTGATGCGAGAGACCAAACCTGGAGCCAATGATTGAGGCAAGGGACATGAAGAGCAGGAACCCGGTCGTGCATATGCATGGAGCGAATGTTATATCGACATTTTATCAACGGTTTTTGGGTTCGTCCAGGGCCTGACATTTCAGAAGCGAGCGAATAGAGCAAAGAACTGAGAGGTAAAACATTGGTACTACTTCTTCAAGCATAGTCTTTCTGGCAGTGATAGAATATGTAGTAGAGCATCTTGGTCCAGCCCGGGAAGAGAGGACGCTTTTGCAGTAGTCGGGGTAACTCGCGGGTTTGATTCGGAATTGAAGGTAACGATGTCAAGCCAACTCAAATTGCCATATAGAAAGCGTTTGGTCATCGCGAGTACTCACCGTGGCGATGAATATGGTAGTCCATCACGGTGGGCAATTATCACCATCCATTCCTCATCGGAGAGACAGGGGTAGCATGCCACCATCAGGATACACCTCCGTCGATGCTACCCAGGTCAATGACAAATGGAGCCTGCCCTGCAATGATTGTGTTTCTGCGGTCCCTGCTTCTGCAAACAGCATGTGAGCCCCCGCCTCCTTGTCTTTCCAGCAGAGGGGGGAGCATGTAAGCCCATTCTAAAGCTGTGACCGAAAGGTATTTTGACCTGCTCTTCCGCTCACCCCGCCATCGACGAACGTCGACCAACTTCAAGAGACCAAGAAAGTTGATGCTTGACTGTCGATCCGCAGAAAGTGCTGGGACGGGTTTTGGGTATGTCCTCGAGCCCACAGTCGTGACGATCGGCCATTATTCAGTTCGAGCAAGCATGAGGATACACAGGTGGACTCGGAGATGCGCCAGGTCGACCCGAGAATGGGGTTCGCAGGTTTCCGCGGAGCTGGTCCTCGATCAAGGAAATATCGAGGATCAGTGGAGGGAGGCGGAAACCTTCACATCATTGTGAAGTGGGTTGCTCAGCGAGCATCTGGAAATGCTTGCGGAGTTGGCGAAGAGGGCCCTCGAACTGCAGCCGGTGGCCGGTGGCTGGGAGGCGATCGTCTGCACCCAAACCCTAGTCAGACAAGAGTTGGCGTTTGGTGAGAATACAACGCATTGGGGGCACCGACGCCTGGGAAATTCCTGGGAAGAGGGGTGGAAATTCTGTCCCATTCTGTTTGCAGGATGTTGAAGCAAACGGAACGAATGCATCGACAAAAGGTGGCAGCGCAGGGAATTAGTCCTACGGTCAATCGTTGAGCCATGTATACAAAATCTCGCTCGTGTTCGGATGCTGTACCGTATCCACAGCCGCACAACGACAGCCAGATCGTGGAACTCGTGAATATACACACTGTCCTGTAAGACAGTAGGGCACTTGGCCTGAGGAAGGGAGCAGGTATCGCAAAATCCCCTCCCCATGTCACTATACCGTAAACGCTCATTGTTTCGATGTGTGGCGGGCGAGTCAAACTGCGCCAACGCGTTTTTCTCCCTAGGCACACCCTGCTACCGAGTACCCGATATTGACCAGATCAACCACGACTTGTCCACCAACAGAAGAACAGATAAGCTCTCTCGCCTGAGTTTGATCTCTTCCAAACATCACTGGGCCACTCTACCAAGATTCTTCAGTAGAACTTGACTGACGTATCGACTGAGCCTCCTCGTGCCTGTGGAACGCGGCCTTGATGGTGTTTTTGAACCTCTCTTCAGACGCCACAGGGAAGATTCTGCGGTGCCGTAACTGCTGAATGTCTCTGGGAATGTCGTCCGGTTTCTTCACACTGCTTGTTGTTCCGGGTCTGTAAACACGGTTGTTTGGGGTCTCTCGAACCACAACGGCTTCTTCCTCGCACAACTTCAATACAAGAGATACCACGAGGTTTGCCATCCACGTTGATTCTGACCACACTTCATCTCATGGTACGCAAATGACAACATATCTATGAGCATTCCATCTGCCCAGTGCATGAGAACTGAAGGGGAGCACAGTATGGGTGCTACAGTCGCGCTGCAACAGCACGTTCACTTTAATCTGGCCAGCCCATCAAAGCGTTGGAGAGAGTCGTCTGAATGTCCTTCAATTTCCTACTTTCCCTGGTGAGATCGGCCTGCATCAAACGCACAGATTTTCAAATCTTGGGAAGAAGACAGGAGACTGCTTCCAAGAGAGCTGCAGCACCGAACAAGGGACGCTTCTTCCAGCCTTTCTGGCCCTTTCCAGGTCACTTTGGGCTGCACTATTTCAGTAGAGCCGGCTTGAGGCCAGTTGTCGCCGCTCATCAAAGCGCTGCGACTTTCGAGGACTTTTGATAGTACTGTCTTCTTTTACGACCAGGGCAGCTAGAGTAATTAAGTAGTAAGGGCGGGAGCGCTGCGGACTTGAACGATCTGTCAAAATTCCACTTACCAAACGAATCACCTTCTTTGCAGAAGCGAATCATACCACCTTCGCCTCCTCAGCCAATCGGTCGATGGATCGGCGAGACAGACAAGTGCGATGTGGTTTCGATACAGGCCACAAGCATTTCACCTGCCTACTCACATAGATAGTCCAGGACTCTTTTTCATAGCAATTGCACAAACGATGGATGGTGAATGGCACCCAGTGTGGCTACACTCCGTCGAGCAAAAGATGCCGGGCTCCCGACGACCAGGCCTGGGTGATTCCGTGCGAAGCCGGTGTTGTTGAAAAACGTTTAGGTTCCGTAGCCAGGATGCCAGGCCATTTCCTTGTCCCCCTTACCACGGCTGCGGCATTCATTTCCCCCCGGATCTTGAGTCTTACCACTCTAGCAGACTGCTAAAACCTCTAAAGCGACCCGTCTTGAACAGTGATCAGGTCGTTAATGGCCGTGGTTGGTGAAAACAAGCTAGACACCCGCGAACTAGGTGTGCTACCTGAAGCGACCGGACTCGGGGCTAGAAAGTTCACTGCATCACGAAAATGTCGCTGAATTACCGCAAATGGCATGTCAGTTCCCTTTCTCAGCCGTTGCCGCCAACGCTGAGGAACCTTTGGGTTTAGACACAAAACTTAGCACCGGTCGCCTAAGGATGATAATCCGACTTAGCAGCCGTCAGCTGAGAAGAGATGCGGACCTCTCGCAATAATATCTCTGGGGACTTGGCATATATATGTAGAGAGAGAGAAAGATATGGACAGGTCGCATCACACTCAGATCACAAGGTCAGTCAGCCAGTCCAGGGTACACAAACTTACATGCTCAATAACTGTTTCCTTCCACCTACGAGTACTGTAGTTGTACCGGAAGGCCAACGTGCATACATTCTATGCTGCGGGAAAGCGGAAATTGGCGGCTATTCCTCTGAGCACATGGGGATCTTGAATGCATTTATTCGAATGCCTGCTTCAGCATGCGTTCTGCCTCTGAAGGGGACAGTGTGCCGGGTGCGAGTCGAAGGACATGCATCAGCATGGGTTAAGTCGGATCTTGTCGGCTTGGAAGGACGGCACCTCTTTGCTTCGTGGCGATCCCCTTCCTCAGTTTTCTGCGCGCATATACCGAGTACTGCCATACTAGATTTAGCAACTTCCTGAAGCAAGCAGGCAAGCCCATCGTTTTTTCTTTCTCGCTCGAATCTGCCCACCTTCGCTGACGCAACACGCACACGACTCTCCCTCGGCTCGAAAACCCAGGAGTACGCGTCATGAGGATAGCAGCTAGGCGCCTGGCAGCTGCACAAACAGCCACCAGGACTCAAGGACCTACCTCCGATTGTGGTGGTCCTCCCGGGATGACTTGCCATTCGATTCCAGATGCAGGATGCATTTTGGCAGATGCAGCAACTGCCTTGAACGTCGGCGCAATTTTCAGTTTCGCCTAGAAGAAGGGTTTCCCCCGCTACTGGAGCCCCTAGTGCCTGTTTGGATGTACCCGTCGGGACCCTGTCCAGAAGTCCAAAAGCCTGGGAGAGATCGCTCTCATTGTCCCGACGCTAGATGCACCGCGTGGAATGCGCGAACTCGCAAGGCGAAGTGATCAGCATCATACAAAGCAGCTAAACCTCCAAGAACAGCGGTTTGGGGTCCTCTGCATTGGATCGCATTGCAGGTGGATGGCGGGAGCCGGGGTCCTTCGAATGACCTTCTTCCCTGGACGAGAGAAGCTCACACTTTAGCTGTTAGCACACCAAAAGACTGCCGGTTCGGGGTCGGACTTCTGTCTCAGCCAACGTTTGGGGCATCTCTCGGTCTCTCTTTGGGACTGGGTTGGATGGTGTGTCCCGAAGAGTTCCCGCAGAAAAGCTATGCTTGGGCAGGGGAAAACAAAGCAACAATCCTTGAGCGCCTGAAGACGCATCAGGAGGCATGGGGGCCAATAAAGATGGGTGATGGCTTATTGGAGTGCTGTGGACTGCTCGTCGAGCCGTTTGCTGGATGGCGCAAGGATTGAGACGATACTGACTGACTGACTTGACTCTCACTGTATGTAGGTTGTGGAGATTTCATCAGCGTTTGCAAAGCGTCCAACTGCGAACATGTCAAACTTCGGATATGCCAGCTAGATCATCCGGTAGCTTGCTTGTTCTAGGGATGGGCGACTCCGTTTTTTCCCGCTGGGCATGTCCCTTGCTGGACAGTCGTGACAGTTTAGGCACTGTTGTGGTCCGTGCGTGTGTTTCTTAGCTACTCATCGGTAGATTGTATCAAGCGAGCTATGGCACCAGCCGTGATCCGTCGTCTCCTTACTTTTCATCGAGTCCACATTATCGAGGACTGTCAACCACTTCTCTTGTTTCTGTACCCCCTTCTCTTCCACAAATACCTGTCGCCGGAGCAGGACGGCCTGCCTGCGTGAACGTGAATTCGCATGTGCGGGGTTGTCTCTGGGCACCTGCAGAGAGGATGAATTGGGCTGACGGAGGGTGGTGCTTGGTGTGGATGAGGAGGTACGAGTAAAGCACCGAGTACGAGGGACAGGACGAAGGAACGTACGGCAGACTGACTCCGTCCTAGTAGGGAGTACCTCGTCAGGTGTAAGGCTGGCGCAGCCTCAACTGCGCCTTGTCCAACCTCGTCTCTCCTCGCTTTCTCTCTCCCTTTCATTTTGACTTCACTTCAGCCACCCGCCAGCCAAATCATTCTGCACCTACTTCCCCGGTCTACTATAAACCAGGGGCGGGCCTCCCCTTACTGGACCCCCTATATTACTATCCTTTCTCATTGGACCAGCCGGTCGTACCTTTCTCTGCATTATTTTAGTGTAGTCAGCTGTCAAAATGCACCATAACAACCCCCCCCCCCCCACTGTCTCGACCCTCCTCCTCGAAGTTCGAGAGGCCCGCTATTCGCATCTTATTTTGTCCACGCGTCGGAAGAAGCCTCTCGAAATCTCCTGTCTGCTCTTTGAAAGCCACGGCGGCGCATTGAAATGAAACATACATGCAAAACAATGGATGGCCACTGGCCAATGCCAGCGGAAGATTCACCATGTTCGAGTTACCGAGTAATGTCCACAGCCTTCTTGACGCAGACCCCAGTTGAGCCTTGCCAAACCCATGCTCCACTCCTTGTTGCTCTTGATGGGCCCATCTCTCAACCCAAGTTCTCCACGACCGACCTCTTGCTTTTATCAGCGGATCCATGACACTCTGTTCCCAGCGCTTTGGGGATGGAAAGCAAGATACTCATAAGATTACAAGCCAAAGGAACAAGGCGAGGCCAACCCCACTATTTTTCCAGATTTTGGTGCCGATCCGCCTCGCGGGAGGAGGTGGACCGTGCGATCTGAGGAAAAATAGCCCCTCCTCCATGGCGATGTCCCTTGAGTGATCAACAGGGTTGTCGACCCCTCGTCTTTGCATTTGGTGGCCGCCGTCGCGTGTCTCAGGGTCGGACTCCATAAGGCTATTGTTATATGCATGAAAAGGTGGGAAGCTTCATACCCTTTCCTAGGCACCTTGGATCTTTCTTGCTACATGCACAACCCTGCCCTCCATTGAACCTTACTCCCCTCACTGTTCCAATCATGGCAGGCCTTGAGCCTCCAGGTTTGAGTTGAATTGAGTGCGTGTCGGAAAATACAGAAACCCTTGGCCGGCTGCGATCTCCCTTACTTAGAGGACCAAATGCCCGCCCCTCAATCTCTCCTTTTTCTCTTTCTCATTTTCAGAAAGATTTGTTCAAATCATCTCCATACGTGATCTCCAACCGAACCGTGGCGAGCCCCCTCTCCTATCATCCTCACCGCAAGAACCACCAGCAAGAAATGGCGGCAAGAGGAAAGAAGTTCACCGTCGGCGTGTTTGGCGACCCGGGATCGGGAAAAACTACATTGATCCATCAGGTAAGCGCGCAAACTGCTAGGTGGGGATGCTGGTCGGAAGCGAGGTGGTGATGAGACTGACGAGTTCTTTTGCTGCGACACTGTAGTATCTCTTCGGGCAATATCTCGAAGAGCACAAAAACATGGTGCACTACGGCAAATGGGTCAACATCGAGTCGGAGCTGATCGAACTCGACATTATCGAAACGGGCAAGGACCCCGTGGATTTTCCCGAGTTTGATGCCATGATCTTTGTCTTCAGCACTTCGTCGGTGACCACCTTTGACTCGGTGATGCGATATCAGAACAGCCGCCGGCGGCTGATTGCCCTGGTCGGCACCATGACCGACTATTACGGACAGACAGTGGCATACGACGCCGGGCTCAACCTGGCCAAGTGCATGGGGGCCGGGTACTTCCACTTCTCCCCGCACCACGGCTGGGGTGTGCAAACGCCCTTTGAGTTCTTGCTGCGCCGCTTCGTTGTGCAGCAGCCCAAGCATCTCGAGATCGTACCGATGCCCTCGATCAACGTATACCAGTGGGTCAGAGCCAAGTGGTACGTTCATCGCATCAAGAAGCCGAGGAGCAAGGTCTGGTACGACGATTAGACTAGCCGTGTCATTGGACGGCATATGATATATGAGCACGAGTGGCAGCACGCTACCCGCCATGGAGCATGAGGAGTGACATCACTCGACAGAAAAAGACATGAACTCCTCCACCAAAAAACCAGCAAAAGCATCAGAGCGACTGAGCAATTATAACCGTCACGGCTAGATATTCCTCATCCTTCTACCTCTTTCCCCTTCGGCTTGTTCTCTCTTCTTGGGGTCAGGGGCGATTGAAGCCTCTTGTACGAACGTTACGACATTGACGATATACTCTCACATTCGGACAACCTACTCACAAATGACACGGACGCGGAAATGGATGCGCAAACGGACACGACGACCACAACTCAGCCACGATACCTCCAGCGAGGATGTCATCAGGCATGGTCTTTTTTTTCCCGGGGGGTTGTTTCCTTGGTTTCTGGAAACACCATGATTCTTTTCGGGGGCACTTTTTACTTTTAGTCGTCACTTTCCTTCTTCTTCTACTCCCTTTCTTATTCACTTTTTACTTGATGTTGGAAATGACGGGACGGCCTGGATGACAAATGAGGAACGAAAATCACAGACGGCGGTAGCTAGCTACGCCTTTGATATCACAGACAGAAACAGAAACAGAAACAGACATAGGAAAAGATATCTCCGTAAGGGGGAACAAAAGTTGCGTACTGAGTGCTATGGACACTTTCCTCGTGTAGTACTACTCTACTACCTATATACCTACTGTCGATACCTACAGTAGGTCCCTAGTTACCTACGTAGGTAGTTTAGCTGGTACAACCACGAACATGAACGCAACCCACACCGCGAGACCACATGACATGCAGGCCGCGTGTCTTGTCTTGCCCCGTCTTGCAGGGTCTGTATCAATGCTCAAATGCCCAATGCCCAATATCGCTCGGTATACTTTACTTTTCTTGGATACTTGGATACTTGGATTATCCAGCTAAGCTTATTTGAGCTATCCGTATCGTCCCATCCCATGCCATCCCATCCCAATCCGTTGAAGAAAAGACGTCTTTTCGTACCGAGCGAGTTACGCACTTTGAATTTTGTTCCCCCCCTCCTCTCTCCCCTCTCTCACTCATCCTTTTGTTCGGCGGAATCGTGAATCTCGATATATTATTCACGATAGATGTACGATCTACGATGTACGATAATTCACTGAACGATACAGTCTACTCACCGGAGGTAGGTAGACAGGGAGACAGGGAGACAGGGAGACAGGTAGACAGGTAGACAGGTAGACAGGTAGACAGGTAGACAGGTATGGCTAAATCAGCGCCGACAGCGACCAATGACCCGTCCCATCGCATGTCAGGCGATGCATGGACAGGTCTACCTCGTACAGAAATGTCTGTTCCTCTTGGCTCTTCCTCTCGTCCCTTGGTTTCACTCTCTTTCCCACTCCGTCCCCTTCCTCGAGAGGACTTGCAAGACAACATGGTCAAGGGTATCTTGATACACAAGTCCAAAAAAATAAATATAGATCAACAGATCGGGAGACTGTCCACACCATCATCATATCCTATGCAGCATACAATATACCCTTCCCTTACTCCCTCGCCTCTCTTCGGATGGTGTACATCCCCATTCAAACATCCGTACATACAGGAATCCCGGGAACATCACCAGGATTGGGAGACCCCGCTGGCAGGACTTTTTGTTCGCCGCTTGATCCACTGAATCATCTCTTCGATCAGAGCCGTTCCCACAATACCCTGCATCAACAAGCCCGTATGACCATAGGGAAAGATGCTCAGAGTCGTCGGACATCTGGCCGCCTCCAAGCGCGCCACAAAATCTATGCTTTCTTGACACAGGATATCTCCGCCCATAGCCACAACCTTTGTCGGGAAGGCTCGGGCAGCATCGATTATCCTCTGGTTGGCGTAGATTGGGCTCGCCCTCCAATTCTCCTTGGACCTGTCTCCAGGTCCCTGAAAGCACCGGTTCTGGAAGAATCGCATCGTTGCGGGAGTCAGCCAGGGAGCGTCCCAGTTTTCCCGCCATCGTCCTTCACAGTCCCACGTGTTATCCAGGCTGGGAGCAATGAGGAGCAGTCCGGCGGGAGGGCGTCCCTGCGCTGACCATGTCAACGCTGTGGCCGCAGCGAGGTTTCCGCCCCTGTGATTGCAGATCAGCAGAGTCGGCATTCAGTTGGGATCCAGGGCATCTCACGATGATACACCAGCAATAATTATGTTTCGCCTACCCACTCGATTCCGGACCCAGTCTGCTATCACCAAGGCGTCATCATGCGGAATAGGAAACTCGCGACGGCGATAAGCACCGCTGAAAACCCGACATCCACAATCCACAGGGGAATCAGTACCTGCTCATGCTTTGAACAAAGAACAGACTTACCGACCGCAATGTGACTGAGTACATTATTGTCGCCCGAAATGTCTCCCAGCATCCATCCACCGCCAGCGAACCACACGAGGACGGGCAGGTCACGTCGCTCGTTTCTCCGGGGTACAAATTGTCTCACGCGTAGACCGCAAGGGAGGTCGTGGTCGCTGGTATATGCGTCGAGGTTAAAGACGATGTCCGTGCTACTCGTCTGGTATGGCGACATGGGTGTGAGGCGATTCCTCCACACACGAGGTGGGTACCACTGCACTACCTCTTCATGAAAGCGCCTGTAAGGGCCACACAGTTGTCGTGAGATATTCGGCATCAAAGGAGACAATGGCACCGTTAAATACTTGGCCATGGTCCACTCCAATTTAGCAGCAGAGGCGTTCGGGTTGGCCTGCACTTTCCCAGCGCAGCCAGAGAGCACGGTGACCCAGTGGGTGATGTAGTACTCAAGGTCCTGGATGGTGAATGGGATATTGAAGAGTCGACCAATGAACCGGGTCATTACCTCCACTGGCAAAGCCCGAGGGCGGTGGAAGTCTCTTGTGACGGTTCGCGAAACTGCACAAAGGTAGATAATGGCCGCATTCATCAGCCAGTTGAAATGTATAGTCCATAACTTGCTGTCGCTATTCTCATACCCGGCATCCTCGAGAAGCTTGCCCAGGTGATAGGCTTGCTGCCAGACTTCAACCCAGCGCAGGTTTCGGCCGGCAAAGTGCGCATTGATAAACATTTGGGTCTGGGTTATATTCCAAGGCGTGATGACTCCGAATGCTGGCCGGCATGACAAGTCAAAGGCATTGTCCTCTGTGAAAATCCAAGTCAATAGAACGGCGAGGATACAGCGGCTAAGGTTTTCGCTTTGTGAGACGGTCTCCATGATGCCTGGGAGAGGTCAATTAAACGATCAGATAGATTCCCGTCTCTATGTAAAAGAGTTGGCGGGGAGGTCATCGCGCACCTTAGGAGGTCAAGGGAACTGGTTTCCAACCACAGCTTAGATCGAGACCGCCTGGAAGGAAGGGGAGGCATGCGGTTAGACTTTGATATGGCTGCAGAGGCAGTATATGGATGGCGGTAGGCTGGCAGGCTTTTCGGGGGTACAGGCAGGTCGGCGGGCGCTGACTGATAGACTGGATTGACAGGTTCGAGAGTTGCAGGGCAAGGTAACAGCACAAGTATACCACAACCAACGTGAGTGAAGCAGCGACTCTAGCCTTCGGTCCATGAACCATACTTCTTGTCGTTGGAGACCGATGACGGGGCTCCACCTGCTGTCTGATCTCGTTGTCGATACCCTGCACCGTCACTCTGTCTACCCGTATCCTTCGAGCCAGGCCTGGGATGCTGCGCTCGCCGAACAGTCTTGTCATCGCCACTTGTCGAGCGTGGCCGCCATCAGCTCACCGTGCGGTATTGTTTAAACCTAAGGGCCTCTGTCAGACCCGTTTCTTGACAAGGATCTCCGACCCTGTCACTTTCCATTCATGGAATTCAAACCTGCTTTCCTTTTTTGCGGCCCCAAAGTGCCATCCCGCGCTTCTTAGCGCATGTGATATGTTGGAAAACTCTGATAGCCATCAACCGCACTGCATGCTGCTTGCTCTGGCTGGTGTAATGATGATGGGTGTGGGGTCTTGGAATCCGAGATGTAAAACAATCACAGTCTCAATCACTCTGGTTTTAGCCTTGTTGGGAGTTGGACGTGGGAGGTCTCTGCGCCTCACTTGGTGGGAAAGTCCAGGGTCAGGATGATCTGGGGGTTCCATGTGGTTCATTCAGCTGGCCTGGGCCTTTTGTCATGGAAAGCAAACAAATTGAGGTTGGCAAATGAATGTTTGCGGATGCGATGCCGTCGAAAGTAGCGTGAAGGGGGTCGAGGTTACATAGGGATCAATCTACCGAGCCGCGTGTCTGGGTCGCGATGAGCGAGACCGATGGTCGTTGATCTGACCTGACAGCCTCATTCCCACACAGCCACCGTGCACTCCTTCTGTCAGTGATCGTCATGGGCAAGGGGACCACAGGAGACATACACACATACCACTGCTCTGCCCGTGGCCCTATCGAGATGAGCGTCATCCTTGCGAATGGTTCCCAGGTGTCCAAAGCATAGGTACGGCGTCCAAGGCATAGAGCGCTGGAAGCAGTTTGACAGTTGTCCAGGACGAATACAACTGTCCCGACATGGTTTGTGAGAGGCCAATCGTGGCCCAGTCCAGGGTCACCGAGGATACATGGCCGACGACCGGCGTGCCGCGGAGCCGGTTAGCGCAGCTTGGCCATTGACAGCCGAGAAGCCTGACCACGGACCGCTAGTTGATGGTGACAAGTTTCAGGGACACTAATGGATTTGCAAGGGATCTTGTGTTAGGAAACCACAGAGACTCGTGGCGTTCAGGTAGAAGATGGCCTGAACCTAAAGAAGGGAGCCATGAGAAGGAATTGGGTACTCTTTGGTGGGTGTGAGGAAGAGGAAGATGAGGCGTAGGGAGACGGAGGATACGAAGACGAGGGGGGGAAAGAGAGGAGGAAAGGCCCGTGCATGCTGGGTTTCTGGGTACAGCTCAGTACGTCGTCCCTGGGTAGGGATTAGTTTGCTATTGGGGTCCTTGCTCTAGTCCCTCGCTCCCTACCGAGCATTTGGATAGGCGAGAAGGGTGAACACTCGTGGGTAGGAATGCCCAACTATCTAGGCTAGCCTCACACTCCTCTTAGCCTGCCAGCCTTGGGGGCTCTGGGCCATCACCGCGAAGGGGGCAAGCCTCACTCGCCCCTAAGCAAAGCGTGGCACCCCTGGCATGTTTGCTACAGGCTTGCCACCACTGCCACCCTCCTAGAGACCAAGCCATGTAACCCACCACTCCTAGGCTATACCACAACTTCGGATCGACTAACAATAACACCCGACATTTCTCTTCGGCTCTCTGCTACAAGATCCGGACAAGGAGGATGTGACAGCAAGAATCCTATCGCCAGCTATTGGCACATCTGCTCCTCTCAGCATGACACAGATGCCGCACATATGTGCAATCAAACCATCCTCTTACACCACGCTTTGTCCCCTCCGCTCTCTGTTCTCTGTATACATACAGCCTTGTCTCCTCTCTCACGTGATCAGAATCCCACGCAAGGCTTACCTACACCAAAGATACTTGAGGCACAGGAAAGGAAACAGGCAAGTACTGTGGAAGACACTTGTTTTCGCCCGTTCGCTCAGCTTATGCATCTTCTCCAATCTTAATGCCCATTGTTTTATCCACCGCTAGAGGGTCGAATTCCGGCCGCTGGTCCTTCAAAAACTTGGCCGCAATGAGCCCGATACTGGGGATGGATTTGCATTCTCTACCTCTATTACTTTCATGTAACAAGCCGAGTCGAACTGCCCAAACGGTATCGCTCAAACATGCATGAAATGCTGGGAATCTGTGATCCACTGTCGCCTTTTCTTTTTGAGCATCGGGCCTGGGCTTGTTGATTTCAACCAGCATTGGTCGGACAGACCGGATGTTGAGAAAGAGAACAACTGATGTCGAGACCGTATGAGGATGTGGCGCCCTCAGCAATAAAGACTATGGTGCATTGAAAAACACAGAATGCGCAGTGTCTCGTGTGCTCGACACGTACCTGGATTGAACCACTGTGACGACAATGGGAGCGAGGAGAGCATCGCAGTCTCAAGTGACTGCGATCAGGGTGTGAGTCTCGACCAGTCACTAGTCCTGTTAGGGTCTGGGAATCAAGGAAACCTCAAGGAGCGCAGTATCCTCTCATTATTTCGGCTGTCCGGCATTGCTTCTAGTGCGCCGGCGTGTGTTCTGCATCCGTCTACTTGGCAAAGGCACATCAATGACCCATCAGATTTGCTTGCGGTCGGAGTCAGCGTCGTGAATGAGATTCAATGCCTCTGCCAAAGATGCTTTCCTGTCAAGCGAACCATTAGTTTATGTTATCTCCTTCGGTCCTGCCGTACTTGTCCAGATCGACTGATGCTCGCCATACTGATCGGCCGAGACGCTCGGGGTTCCTTTGAAACTGGTATCGTCCGCGACCGCGGACCACATTAGACTAGAGTCACGGAAAACACATCCTCACTTCGAAGATATCTCAAAGAGCAACAGAGCACTGGGCTCCTATATCTCAATGAAATGTGCCACTAGTCCGGAGTGGATGTGTATTGTCTCCGTTCAGCCAAGGCGAAAGCGGCCGATTCATTGTAGTATGCCAACTCAAATCTCCATCTTTTCTTCTTATTCATCCCTGATTCCCGGTTACCAGCAGATGCCCTTGATCGGGTTATCGACGATCGCAGTGGGCAGTTCGGCCAAAGCGCCTCGTAGGCTGCTCGATCGGATGTCTCTGGAGGGTTTGAGATGTTGTGATTTGGATCAGCTACGTCCCAAGATATGATAAAGGTATCGTTGCTGATCCGTCTATTCACGCTCCGAGACACGCGCTTATAAGCATGTATGCTCAACAAAAATGTCATCTTCCGTTGGTTGATCACTGATCAAAGGACGCGTAAAGACATCGTTCGCAAAGTGCCCTTGGAGGCAAAGAGTAGGTACGAATCGTCACAAGCGAGGGTTCGTCATCGAGGGCAAAGAGAGGTTGGAAGGGTACAAACTGCGGTGGAGCTGTCAACGTGTCGGGCTCCCACAAACAGTCTGGTGAGAATTGTTTCTCAGAAAGCTGCATCAACATCTGGTCACATGGGCTCATAGACCTTGTACAAGCTTTTCTGGATCAACACGGGGTTAACGGGCCTGTTGGACAGTGATTCTGTGTGTTGAACACACCTACTGTAGGGCTTGACAGAAGCGAGAAGTCTGGAGTTTCAGGTGCCCTGACGTCAGTGTCACGTGATATTACCAATCACAAGGCTGAGAAACCCACACGAGGCTAGTGCTGCAACACCCTCGACACTTCTTCCGCTCCACCACCTCTTCGAGATTTAAATTGCTTCGTCTCGAAAGTGATGCCACAATGGCGCTCTAAAAGCAGAGATTCCTCCTGCTCTAGACTGCCTAATGATATCCTCAGGTCTGGAGCGAGACAAGCGAGGCCACCTTCGATATCAGGTCCTAACTCTGCCGCTACAGCGGCATTGCGACGGAGCCGTCAACAGCAATTATTGAGCAACATCGACATGTCTCGTCTGCGCGTCTCGCAGCCAAAGCCATTTCTGGTAAACGGGCAGACTCTAGACGCAACATGGCTAACTCTCACACCCTGAGAGAAGATGCTGGTGAAGGAATGTCTGCTTCACGGGCGTGCCATTTGATCACCGAGCGGATCGCATGGTCTCGGAGACAGATCCCTGCGCGAGGCTCTATTCCGAATTGTTTATTGCGTTCGATGGGTGGGTAACAGCGGACCTTTCGCCATGAAATCAGAACCAATCAACGCAATGAATGAGCAATGCCAGAGCATGAAGGCACCCAACGCAAAGCGAGCCTCTATCAGGGAGTCTTCGCCTAGTACTTTGCAGCCAGCCTCCCCGTTGTTGCACCTGGCCACCTGCAATGTAAGAACATCTTCACCGGAGCCACCCTCAAGTCCGCAACGGAGGTTGACTTTCAGTCGGGGTCTGCACAGGCTTGCATCAGACTTGTTGGGAATGTGCTGCTGCAATCATTACCTCTGGCTGGTTCGAAGACCAGCAGCGTTCATGGATCCATAGCCAGAGGGGTACGCCCAGCTGCTCATGTGGAAAATTCTATTGCTGTCGGCCCACGTCGACCCTTGAGCCTTCCCGTCCGCCACCATCACGATGTTAAGATATTCCAGGAGAGTTCCTGCTGCTGGGAAGTCATCGAGCACTTGATGTCCTCAGTGACGACAGTGTCGCTCGATTCGCGCTCCAACATCACCCGCTCGGCTGCGAGGAACGGGCACATTCTGACAGCCTAAGTCAGCCCGAAGCAAGTCCCGTAACGAAACTCTACCCCAGGCCACATCTTGCACATGCCCCTGGATCTTTCGGACCGCTCACTTCGACCAGATCCGTACCGAAAGCCAGCGACTTAGGAGTCCACGATGAGATACCTGAGATTAACCCATTTATCTCGGTATTTCTAGATGACTGCATGGCAGGCTGGCAGATGCTGGTACTGAACCCCATGTATTGTTCTCATGGCCATCGTCACCGCCTGGCGGCAGCGTCTGGGACAGGGATGGTAACCTGGGGCGGGAGGTCGGTTATTAGCCAGACGACTTTTTAATCGCATATCTTTGCGACATGCAGAAGCCAGCAATGGATCAGCCGACGACAAGTTCCGATCACGCAGATGAAAAAAATGAAGCGGAAGAGAACACCACGACCGCTCAGACATGACTCCGGTTGGCTGCGGATGATGTTTTATCTGCATGAGATCGACCACACCGCGAAGGATTCTCTATAACTTGGATATCTGTCTTTGGAGGATGGCAGACTCTCCACGTGGAATGCTACGTCTCCGTGCAGACTTCGGCCGGCCGCGATCACATCAGCAGAGAGTCAGGGAGCCTTCATTTCCAATGGGACCGAAATTGGCCTTCGCTTTTGATTGTAATGCTACCGGATCAATGAGCCAATATCCTGTCTTGTTGACTACACTTAGAAGCCATTACTATCACATGAGAAAATAGTCCAACCTTTCCACCATCAAGCAGATTATCCATGGCACTCCTCTTCAAACTTGGTCCTTCGATTGCACATCGAGTGCCACCATCTCTTCTGACCATTCGCTTTTCGATCGTCTTGATTCCCCGGAGGTGCGGCGGAACTTGGTTTTGCAGAGTGTGCACAACGCAACTTCTGTTCGGTGGATCTCCCTGCTCAAAGACCTGGGCAGGTTGACTCGTCACGTCACACGAGTATGCGTAGGCGTTTTAAACCAGGGCTAGTTATCTCGAGAATAGGACTTCGCGGCCGACATCTGAAACTCGCCTTATGCCTGGAATTTCCATGCACTCTGAGAAGCCCCGGCGGCAGAGTCCCCGGCCGGAACATCGAATTATATCGCAGTGCCTTCAAGGCTTCCATCCACAACGCCTGGTACCGTTGACGGCTCAGAGTCGGCGGCAGCTTCCAGGCGCAGAAACTCCAGTCGTGTCCAGTCAAAGACATTGTCGTACTCAAATCCCTGCCGTCGGAAAAGATTGTCGAAGAGTCTTCGCAGATGGCGATAATCAGGCTGGTCTCTCTCTTCCAAGCCATGCACATAATTCATGTACTTTGCGAATTCGTCAGGGAGGCCTTCGCAGAGTTCTTCAGCACTCATCGTGCTCTTCATGAACGAGATACGCAGGGACGGGTGCTGATCCACGACGAAGATGGGTTGGGTTTGGACGTGTTGCCAGGGAAGTCTCCCCTTTGCCAGATACACCAGCACGTATCCCAAAGACTCTAGTTCATCGCATGCGGATTCTGCTGTGGCCCATGTCAGATGACGAGCGTGCAGATACAAGTCCACCACTGAGACACTTACGACCACCTTGATGACCATTGATACTGGCATAGTTCGCGGTACCTACCAAGTCCGTAAGAGGAATTTGTCGCAGGTGAGTCGCTGGGTATGAAGAGCCGTTCGATGGATGGTTGTGGGGAAACGTGAGACCAAAGTCAGCGACATGAACCACGTTGCCGCGATGTCCCCTCCCAAGGAGGAAGTTTCGGGGAGTGATGTCTGAGTGCAGGTAATGGTGGGAATGGAGCACTTCAAGTCGCTGGAGGAGTTGGTCAGCCAGCAATAACGTCGTCTTGAGGGAAAATCGACCGCCACAATATCGAAGCAAGTCCTCCAAGCTGGGGCCGAGAAGTTCAAGGACCAAGACCTTGAACTCGTCCACGTCTCCGTCCCAATGGAGCTGAGGGAATCCAATCTTGCCAGCCATATCATGGTACACGTTGACCTCATTCTTGAGTAGCTGCGGCCGTGCCATACAATGCTCGAGTTTGATGGCGACCTCTCGGCCAGTGTCAAGGTCGCGTCCTGGGAAAATGTCAGCGGGCCTGGCCCATCGGGTGTTTTAAGCACTCTATCCTACCCAAATAGACTTGACCGAAGCTGCCGCCGCCCAATTTCCGCATCAACTGATATTTGTCTCCTATCCTGATCTCTTGAACCCTCTTCACAAAAAGGTCGCAGCCGCTGCCATCGTTGTTGCCGCTGCTGCGGCTCATTTCGTTGGAGGCTGATGGCATCTTCCCACCTGCAACTCCTTCTCGACCTGTTTGAACCTCGTCGCTCTCGCCGAATGTATCACTTGGTGGATGGCGGCAGGTTTTGGTGCAGAGGGCAGCTTGGTGATCACGCTAGCGCTCGCAATCGAGGCGAGAAGTTTCGGACAGTGACTTTTCTGTGTAAAACAAAACGACGTGGCGTCCGAAAAAGCTCGAGGAGAAGAGACAAAGAAGATGGAATGTGGGAAATTCCTCATTTGCGAGGTGCCAATTTTATTCACAACTGGGCCGATGCCAACGCGTTGCGCAGTCTACAGCGCTGGTATGTGGGAATCAACCACATCGTCCCCCCTTTCCCTCTTCATCAACATACCTAGCTGTCTTGATTCTAAATCATCTGGGTATAACTGTCAGTCCGATGACGACGTCCTCTGAAACCTTCCTCAACGGCCTGCCTGAAATAAAGCGCTATTGCGTCCTGTTCTTCCCTCTTCTGCCATGATGTCGGTGCTTCGGGCGACGAAACTGAGAACACCACAGCTCTCGCCAAAACCCATGGTTTCTCAGACTGATGCTGTCCCGGAGGAGTGTGCTCAGCTCAGCGAAGCCACATGCTCTTGGGATTCACTTTCCAAAATTACATTGACTCTCACCTCTCTAAGGGAGTATGACCGCCGAGTTCATAAGGAAACGGATCTGCCAAATCTACACAGCTTGACATCCAATGCCGGAGATCCTACAGGACAAGCTCGACAACGCCTCAAGAGATTCGCTCGCCGTGGTGGCCCTGATTTATCACACCTGATAGGAGTATGTACGCCTTCACGCTTGGGGTGTTATGCCAGTTATGACTAACCAGAGACTTGAAAAGCTTGCCGACCGCGTGCCCCGGCGCGACGATACAGCGACAAGCGCTGCTGAGAGATTTGTTCAAATGGTGAATCTTGAAAGAAAACTAATCGGAAACGGCCTCTATCCCCCAGAACACAAGCTCCCCAATAACAGTCGTCAGCCTAAGCCGCTTAATTTTCTCGATATCCGAACCAGTCTTGCTTCGCGGCGACTATCTGTGGGAACATCTCAGTTTGACGAGGAAGAGCTCCAAGATTTTCGGGCAGAACTGGAACAAGCCGGCACAGAAGCAACGACGATGCACAAGGTCATCCCGATCGTCACTGGGAACGAAGGCAAAAAACACCGGACAGAGTTGAACAATCGCTTCAACAACCTTGAACCCTTGGGCAAAGATATGTCTGCTCCCCAGCCTGATCTGTATTATGGAGCGGACCCATCCACAATTGACCAGCGCGTCCAGGATGAAGTCGATCAGCACATCATTCCCTGCATCACAGGGTTTCGTCCTGCTGCGCCTAACTTTTTCTTGGAGCTCAAAGGCTCGGATGGAAGTGCTCGGGAGGCCCAACTTCAGGCCCTTCATGATGCAGCGCATGGAGCGCGAGCTATGCACAAGCTACAGAACTACGGACAGGTGAAGCCCATATACGACAACAAAGCCTACAGCCTCGCCACCACATTCCATCCCACAGGTGGCATGTTGAGCGTCTTTGCTGTGCACCCCACGCCGCCCACCATCCCTCAAGGCCAAACTTCTTACCATATGACTCTCGTGAACGTATATGCGATGAGCGGGAACGAGAGAAATTTTCGAGAAGGGCTGACTGCCTACCGAAATGCTCGCGACCTGGCAAAGACCTATCGAGACGAATTCATCGAGCAAGCAAACAAGGCGGCTGCCCTGATCCCTGGGTCGGAGCCTAACGCAACAACCTCCAAACGTGATGCTCAACAACTCGACAAGCCGTCGGATGGTGTTAGCAAAGACGACCAAGATCACGAGGAGCCGCGACCTGCGAAGCGTCCTGGAGCCAGCCCAGGGCCGGAAAAACGCGTTCAGAAGTCGACCGGACAGGGGGTGCAGCGACCACAACGAGGGTCTACACGTCAACGTCAAGTGGGCCAGCGGAAGGGTTGACAAGATTCAAGACTTCAGAGTTTTCCGGGGGCAATGGACTTGCATATCTTTAGCGCTGTTCCTCCCTTCCTGTTCCCCCCTCATCACCGTCGTCATCGTTGCTAACATTTTCACCTAGAACATCTTCGGAGAGTTTTATTCGGTACGCGAACGCTTGCAGTCTCCAAGCCAGCTGGCAAAAGACGACGTTTCATGTTTGTATCTCGTCTGATCGCCTCACTTAGAGTTGAGAGATGGTGCTTCGAGGTCACATTTCATTTTCTGATCAGGAGGGACGCAAGACAGATATGGAGGACAGAGGAAGCGGTTCAGTCTTGCTGGTGCTGCTGATGGTGGCCCAGCCAGGTTTGTTTGATTGGGCATCTCATGGTTTGATTTTGCAGGTTCGATCTTGTCTCTTATTTGGCAGAAGCGGGCGAATATAATGGTGAATATGGGCCCCCCATCAGCGGGGAGTGTGGTGCTATTAATATTTAGTATGGTCTTGTCCGGCAAACCCATAGCAAACTATGTCTGTCTGTCTATTGTGTATTGACATGCGGTGATTTCCACCCTCCCCTTTCGGAGGCAACCTTGCAAACATGGCCCACGTAATGTCGCATGTCATAGGCGTCTTGCTGACAAGTTTCTGATTGAAATGGAGGGAAGCAAGCGGAGAAGAGGCCTAAACCACGCCGAGAAGGAGGAATATTCAGTCAGACGGTTCGTCCGTCGGGGGGGTTGCAGAACGCGTTTGGTCCAAGCTTGGCCTACTACTCCCCTCGTAATATTAAAGTCGTTGCGGGAAATCTGCCTTCGGTTTAGGCGGTCCTGCCGTTTTGGGAATGGCGGGGTTGGGCCCGCCGCCGCTTTTGAGGTCGATAAGAACGCTCTTCCCTTCTTGGCTTCCCAACTAGTTATCGTGGTTGATACTCGACTCTCTTATTGCACTATCGGTACTGGGAATTTACTCAAAGACCTTTGAGTACCGGTGACCTATTTCTACGGTCAATCACAATTCCATGTCTTTAGCCACTTTACGTAATATGACACAATGCGACTACGCTAAACTCGATGTATTTCATATACAAGACTCGCACACAACTTCGACCCTTCATAATATTCTGCATACAGGATTTCTCCATCAATTTGATCTACATTCCATTCATACTCAGATACACGGATAAGACGCTCCAACCCGAATTCGTCTAATCACATGAAAGCTTCATCTCATCGCGTTTCTCAATAACCAATCGGAAGACTCATGTTTGATCCATCCGTCACTAATTTGGCGACCTGGGCGACACTGTTGGTCCGGAGGCCGGAGAACAACAGACTCCCGGATCAGCAAGCGGGATGGTCAATGAGACGGTGTCCAAAGACCTCTTAAGGGTCCCTTTTTGTACTCATCGGCATAGGTGTTAACGGATTCGGTCTTGGGCGGCAAAAGTCAGCATACAAAACCCACCCAATATTTACGTCAAAACATTGACCAGACTATCTAACAATGTTGTAGACATCTATCAGACCCTAGCACAAGCATTAGTGCCTATTTGTTTTCGTGAATTGATGTCCTTGCCTTAAAATGCCCGGGAATTTTTGCCTACGCTTGTTCCTAATTGCTGCACTAGCGACAAAAGAACTGACAACCCCCGCAAATCTCGGAAGATATGGCAGACAGGGGTTCCGACACCTATTCTCATCTACTTCTGGGGAATCAGTTGTATTCGTGGAAATGTTTTACTTTCAGATCGGCTCCTACATCACTCTGGAGGTGATCTGGGGAATTTTGAATCAAACTTTGCTTGTGTTCATGCCTTGCTTTCCCCAGTGAGGAACAGGTGACTTCTGCTTAGATTTGGTTGATTAGGATTTCAGGCTACGAGAAGATCTCCAATGCGTCACTCGGCCTTTCATTTGCAACAGAGGCTAGTATCATCGCCTGTAAGTTGACCATGTTGATTTTGTGCAGCCTCTGGAGACTAAGTCGCTGTTTCATGGCAGCGTCGATTCGCCAGTTTGCTTTACACCAGGGCAACTTTTTCGCAATGGATTTGCAACACGAGGCCTTTTTCAGTCTGCGGGAATCAACATGCAGATGTCTGTGAAGTCTTTGAGATCCGACGACTGTTTATGTGCTAATAACTGACTCAGGCCACTTCAACCGAGCCCGACCTCCCCGAAACCACGGCTCTCGCCAGTTCCTCCCCTAGCCAAAGGCCTCAAGAGTGGGATGTTAAGGTGGATTTTCTCATTGCAGGAAGCGGAGGTGCCGGGCTCTCTGCCGCTTTGAAAGCGTCGCGCCTCGGATTGGTAACCCTCGTGGTGGAAGGCTCTAAGCTGTGGGGTGGAACGACGGCATACTCTGCCGGTGGAGTCTGGGTCCCTAATAACCCTCTAATGCGGGAAGCCGGCGTGGAAGACTCGATTGAAACGGCGATGACCTATATTCAGAACGTAGTCGGAGAGCCGAGCCCAGAGAGCACCATTGCGAAGCGACAGGCGTACGTAAGGGCCGGTGCAGAGATGGTCAAGGAATTCCGGGAAAGCGGCTTCCGGTGGCACATGGCTGAGGGCTTTCCCGACTACCACGCGTACGAAGGCTCTCGCATTGGACGACACCTGACGGGCGAAATATTCGACCTTAACAAACTGGGGCCCTGGAGAGACACCATGCGGGTGCGGCCCCATCATCCCGAGCTCCCGGCGTATCTGGACGAAAGCGCTAGGATGCTCAACGCTACACGCACGCGCAAAGGGTTCACCACCCTGGTCAAAGTGGTCTCACGGATGCTTTGGGCGAGGCTTCGAGGGGCCAAGCTGGCTTCCATGGGCATGGCGATTCCGTCGCGACTACTGTACGTCCTTCAGCAATTCGGGGTACCAATATGGCGGAACACTCAAGTGACCGGATTGATAACGGATCAGGGAAGGGTTGTTGGGGCCAGTGTAAGTCGTGACGGTCGACCACTACGCATCCAAGCCACACGTGGTGTGTTGCTTGCACTCGGGGGATTTGCGCGAAATG